CCCAATAACACTTTATCAAAAAGATTATTTTCGACCTACTCCATTTTCTTTTGAAACTTTTCATCTTTACACAAATTTGCCAATCAGATTCACCGCTTACTTTTTCATAGTTGGTATACATAATTTATATATTGATTATATATGGATATACACATAATATATATAGAGATTATACATTTGATTGTAAAAGCGAAACAAAAATTTGAAGCTTATGAGTTCATGATTCTAAGCTAATAATTCCTACTAAATAAATTTCTGAAAATATATATAATGTTTGAACCACACAATTATTGTAATCTAATTAAGTAGTTATATGAACGATTATCAAGATTAATAATTAATTATAAAATACAATATAAGAAAGAGAAAGAGTTGCACTAGGAGAAGGTAAATTCCAATGGGTCAATAAAATATGCACCAATAAATATTTCACATATAGTTTTACCATATGAAATCAAACAAAATAAAACTAAAAATTAAGTTGAGAAAAAAAACTAGTTTTTTTTTTTTTGGAATAATTTCCAAACTATAACTCATTTTTTGAATTCACAATATATACTTATTTTTCAGCAGTAGAAATCATCTTCATCTCCTTTTCATTTGCTTCCATTTGATCTCTAAACCTTTTATAAATATCACTCTTGTAATACTCCATAGTTCTCTTAACCAAAATCAAAGAAACAAGAGCTCCAAATAAATTAACACAAGCTAATATGATAAAAGAATTTCTGTAACATTGTTTACCAATGCAAGTCAATTCTTTCACCATTAATCTTGTCAATCCTTTATTTTCTAGTTGCTTCAATGCTTCATTATCATATAGTCTCCCCACAACTTGCACATTCAATATGTATGATCCAAGTGGACTAGCCAATTGTCCACAATTGAACAACGTTGAGTAATACTTCAGTCCGAACAACTCTGATATTATGATGAAAAGAAGAGTCAATTGGACACCAAAAGAGAAGCCTATAAGTAATGATGCCACGTAGACTGAACCGGAGAATGGGAATGCAATGATGAGATCGCCTATAGCGGGCAAGATGAGAGCTAAGGTCATCATTAGTGTACGAGGGACTTTCCACTTTAAGAGAAGTTTTTCTGAGATGAACCCTGAGCAAACCCTACCAAAATAGTTCCATATGCTCATTAGGGACACAAATGTGCTAATGGTATGTTGTGGATACCCCAAGGACTCACCAATTTGTCCCAAATTGTCTATTGATGTTAAACTACACCCTAGTCCACAAAAAGTTGCCACAAATAAAATCAACATGTCTATACTCAATAAGGCTTGTAATATGGTATAATCCTCACCCCTTTTTGGCTTCTTGAATATGTCTCTAAAACATCCAACTTCCTTCTTCTCTTGTAGTTTCACCATGGAAGAATATTCCGGCAACTCGATTTCCAACATCGGCGCCTTAGATTCCGGCAAAGGAGGTTCTTCAACAATAACCCTAGAAGGTACACTTTCCAATTCTTTCTTTTTCAACTTCCAACTTGTATACTCCTCCCTTATTGCAACAAAAAATGGACAAAATAACACCACACAAACTATAGTGGCACATGCAACATAACCAATGTGTGAGAAATCAATGTACTTTTGTGCAATTGTCATCCCCATCAATAACAAAGCCAATACAATTGATATTACTAGAGTCACATTAAATACTTTCACCTCATTAGGATGTCTAGAAAATTTCTTCTCCCTAATACTAAATATGAAAATCATCGATAAGAGTGCAGGTAGCCAAGCAATTAAAAGTATCAACGACTTCGAATCATTACCATAAATAGCCAAATAAAGTTGTGTAAATATTGCACCACTTAACCCTACAAAACCCTTCATTAATCCCAACATCATCCCTCTACTATGTGGGAAATTTTTAACACATGTAACAAGTGAACCAGTATTAGCAAAATTTTGTGAATTTGCACCAATACATATGTACACACACATATGCCATATTTTAGGTGTTGCAATTTTTTTGGTCACGGCTAGCCATATTAATAAATATCCACTAATATTCATTAGTGATCCAATTAAAAGAACGAACCAAGTAGGCGTTACCTCGGCTAAAAGACCAGAAAGGACACCAACATTAGCACCCAAATCTTTGAATGTACTAAGAAGATTGAGGGTAGTTTGGTCATATCCAAGCGTCGATTTTATAGTTTTCGAATAAACACCAAATAAATATGTTGCACCTGCACCAGCCATGATTAAGTATGAAGCAAACATCATGAACCATCGTCCACGAAGAAATTGCAAAGTAAAATTGCATAATTTAAAATCATGAGCCATATTTTTGATAAATTTTTTTGATTTTTTGAAGTGTTTAAACTATGGTGATTTGAGTTATATAGAGGTTTTATTTATGGGAATTTTGTGTATATAGGATGTTACTTGTTAGTTCTATTAAGGATAAAATACTTATAAGCGTTATGTAGTGTAATTTGGTTAGAAGAGGGAAATAATTAAAGAGTCATTATATATTTATGTTAATTCTATTATTGGATAAAAGGTTAAAGTTGATATAGTTTTTGAGTTTATGGAGTCTTTGGTATAAATAAGATATTATTTGATTTGGAAAAGATATCAATTATTCATGTTTGACATGAAGTGTTATTGGATATTTACGTAAAATAATCATAATTTTATTAATTTGTTGATTTTACGTTAAATTATATTAATTATTAATTTAAGTCTATTAAAATTAACAGTCGATTACCTACAAAATCTCATAAAGATAGGAATAAGGTCTGATATATTATACTTTGTCGATAAGTATTTACATATTCATGAAGTATATGTATATAAATATTTTAATATGGTTAAATAATATATCTTTTTATTTTATTTCTTAATTAGTAAATTAAATTACTTGATTTGGTATTTAATTAACGGGGGTAAATAAATATTTTTTCTATGAATAGTGTCGTACACATGCACAAATTGCTTAGAAGGACTAATTATTCATGGAGTATATTTCCTTTTTCCTCTAAAAATTAGGGATTGCTATAGTTTTGGACCAGTATCCTTTAAATTAGGAAATTTAATATTCAACAAATTTACTACCATGAAAGAATAAGAAGTGTGCCATAAGAATTTAAAATTTATGAGTTTAATATATTTAATTTATTTTTAAAAAATTATATGTGATGCTTATCATAAATTTTTTATTGATAATTATCTTACAAGTGATAAAATATTATATATATATAGTCATAAATTAAAAATATATCGCTTAATCATGATTAAATGATAAAAAATTCATTTGTCTACAACAAAGAATGAAGATAAACAAATCAGGGGCGGATGTGCCCAGGATTCATCTAAATCTATAATTTTTGATACATAATATAATTAAATATTTTATATAAAATTTAATAAATATTAAATATGAATCCATAATTTTAACGGTACAAGAAGTTCTACTGTTTTTTTTAAAGATCAAATAGATGGAATAAGGCTACACTATAACAAAAAAGACATTAAGTGGTAATAGAGATTAATATTTATTATCGCAAAAATATTTAACGATAATTGAGTTAATATCATTATAGTCAGAGTCGCTAAAATTTTAAGCGGCATTTATATATAGAGTGTTAATATCATTGCATTCAAAATCACTAAAATCTTTAGCAGTATTTATATATGAAGTGATAGTTATAAATTCCCACATGTCACGAAATAAATAATAACGACAATTATATTATTGTCTTTAATTAAGTTATAGTGGTACCTAATGAAATGAAAAGTTATTGGTGATCCTCTTGAAGGGAGGGGACCTCGTTCCTAAAAAAGAAACTTCCTACTTGCCCCCGCTCCCTTAATAAAGACGGATAAGAAAAATTTGAATTAGGGCTACTTCGAAAACAATTACTTAGAAGGGTTGTATTGAAAAATTTATTTTAAAAAAAAACTAAATTTAAAACTTCTGATTAGGACGAAAAACAGAATATTCATCACCTAGTAGATTAGTTATTTATGAGTCACATTTATTGCACCTGAAAGTTGGCATGCCTAAATGCTACGTACTCATAATTAATTATACTTGTCAGCTATTGAAAGTGAGAGCCTCCAAAAATAAATGGTGAAATATCAAAATTGATATATCAATACAATACATTGAATTTGATTTCTTTTGTCATACAATTCAAGTTTTCAGAGCTTGAAATTGAGATAGACTTGCCTTTCATAACATAAAAAAAAAGATAGAACGAAGGGCGAATTTCTCAATTTGGTTGAATTTGATTTCTTTATCATACAATCCAAGCTTTCAGAGCTTGAAATTGAGATCTTTTCATCTGTCTCACTGTATTTCTTTAGTAATAGACACAATTTTAATGTGTGCTTCATGTAAAGATCAATATATTATTATATATGGGGCACACTTGATCTCCATTATTATTGGATTCTCAATTTTTTTTAAAATTAAATTATTAATTACTAGATCAAACAAATAATTGCTTTAAAAAAATGACCACTTACTACTGTTTTCGAATATTTCAACACCACATATTTTGGTCAAACAAAACAGCAATCCTTTCCACACAAATTTCAACAAGTCAAACTATAATACTCCAATTATTAAGGATTATAACTAGTTACGATATTTATCACTGATCTCATGAAATAATAGCTCGTAAATAATAAATCATTATTTATACTTCGTTACTAAATAAAATTGGCAATAAAATAAAGGGGTTAGCTTGCACTTCACTTTCATTTAATTTATATATATATACCGTCTTTTCTTTTTAATTCGCCCTTACTTACAAAAAATTTACTTTATTTTTCTTTATTTCGCTCGCTAATAATATCTTCATAATCTGAATTGTCAACCTTTCTTTTTTCTTTGAAAAAAAAGGTAAAGGATATATGTTGTTTGAAATAGTTTTTAACTTAAACTAACTCCGTATGTCTGTAATAATGACAATGATATTATTGAAACATGTTTGAATGTGAGACTCCATAACAATATAACATACACAAAATTAAGTAAAGGAAAGTACATGTGAGAGAAAATATCAAAAATATAGTTCATACATGTACTATATTACAAAAAGATACCAAAAACTATCTAAAAATCTTTAATTTCTTTTTCTTCTATTCAACATTTTTGTCTTCTTACAATTCATTCCTAATCTACCCCTTACTAGTACCATTTTGTGCCAATGTCATTTCCATCTCATCATTCTTAGCTTCTTCTCTAAATTTCTTATAAATATCACTCTTATAAAACTTCCTAGTCCTAATCACTAAAATAATTGAAACAAAAGCACCAAAAATAGTAACTAATGTTATAATAATAAAAGCTAATTTAAAACACTCAACTCCATCACAATTCAAATCTTCACCATCCCCTCTTGTCCTTCCCAATACCTTCAATTGTTTTTCTGCCTCTCTATCATATAAATAACCAGCCACTCTTACATTAAGCACATATGAACCAATTGGACTTGCTACTGACCCAAAATTATATAATGTTGAGTAGTATTTTAGTCCAAAAAGTTCAGAAATTATTGCAAAAAGTAATGGCCATTGTGCCCCAAAACAAAATCCAATAATTATGGATGCAATGTATAGTCCACTAGGCACATTAAATGCAATTAAAATGTGGCCTATGCAAGAGACTACTAGTGTTATGGTTAGGGCTAAAGGTCTTGGAAATTTGTATTTTTTCAAAAAATATTCTGATAAGAAACCAGCCACTACTCTTCCTAAATAATTCCATATACTTACTAAGGACACAAATGTACTAATACTTTTTTTAGGGTACCCTAGTGATGTCCCAATTTGTCCTAAATTGTCTATAGCTGTTAATGTCCCACCAACTCCACAAATTGTAGCAACAAATAGTATCAACATGTCTAGACTGAATAGAGCTTGGAGTATAGTAAAGTCTTCACCCCGGGCTGGCGGTTGAAAAACTGTCTTCCAACAAGAAACTGAAACCTCTTGATCTTTTAAGTCAACAACACTACTTTTTGACTTTTCTTGAACAATACCATCCAAACCTTGATCAGTGGTCACAACTGCTGATGATGGTGGTGGTGGTGGTAATTGAGGAGCCTCACTTTTAGGATTTTCAGTTACAACTTTAACCTTGGAAATACTATCCAAGGCGAGTTTCTTCGCATTCCATGAATTGATTTCCTCCTTTATAACCAAACCAAGTGGTAAGAAAAGCAAGAATATTACAAGAGCAGCGCTCAAACCATACTCTACTCTGGTGAAATCGAATTTCTTTTGAAGTATGATAATCACCATGAGATATCCAGCCAGAACAAGTGACATGTACAAAAACTTATAGAACACTTTAAGTTCATGTGCGATTCTAACAACTTGTATAATCCTAATTGTACGTAAAAAAACAAAAGAAATAACAGCTGGTAACCAACCAATAAGTAAAATTAAAGACTTAGAATCATTACCATAAAGGGCATGAAAAATTTGTGTTAAAATTGCACCACTTAAACCAACAAAACCTTTGAGTAATCCAAGAACAGCACCACGTGACTCTGGAAAATTTTTAACACATGTAACAAGTGCACCAGTATTAGCAAAAGATTGTGAATTTCCACCAATACAAATATATAAACACATTAACCAAACTTTTGTTGACATTTTTTTGGTCACGGCCATCCATATCATAAAATAACCAAAAAAATTTAATATAGCCCCAATTGAAAGAACAACCCATGGTGGTGAAATTTCATTGATTAGACCTGATAAAATACCAACATTTGACCCTAAATCTTTGAAAAAACTTAGTAGATTGAGGGTAGTTTGGTCATATCCTAGGGAAGATTTTATGTCACTAGAATATAGACCGAACATGTAGGTGGCACCCGCGGCTGATAGGATCAACATGGTTCCAAACACCATGAACCATCGGCTCACGAGGACTCGGATAGGTAGGTTGGTCGTCATGTTGATGGATTATTACTATGATATGATCGATGATCGATCGAATTGATGATTTAAGTGAAGAAAAAGTTGTTAGGAAGCTATTTATAAATGCTTAAAATTTGGCCACACATTTGTAGTTGTATACATGTAATGTGCATGTTTATATAGACCTCATACTAACACCTACCCTAGTTATGCACCCCCACCCCCACCCCCACCCCACCTAAAAAAAAATCCAACACTACCCTATTAAGGTGGGGGTGGGGGTAGTCTAAAATATAGACTTTATAGTTGACTTGAGCAAGTTTCTTGGAAAGGAGGGTGGACAAAGAAAGATATATTTTAGAAAAAATCTTCCAAATTGATTGGTCTGAAAAAATAATTGAAGCAATCATATTTTATAGGAGATATTTGATTTTGTAATTCAATACAAATATAATTTTAGCTGTATTATAGGATCTTTTTTATATAGGGAAGATCAACACAATAACTAAATTTTTATATAGTTATTTTTATCGTTCATTGTAAATTAGCACGAGATTTCATTTTCTAATAGTATATTTTTATTTCAATGAGTATTATAAAATCGTTATCTTTAATTGTTCAAATTGTGAATTAGCACGAGATTTCATTTTCTAATAGAATATTTTTATTTGAATGAGTATTACAAAATCGTTATCTTTTATTGTTCAAATTGTAAATTAGCACGATATTTTATTTTCTAATACTATATTTTTATTTGAATTGAGTATTACAAAATATGTTTTAGCTATACTATAGGATCTTTTTTTTATATGGAAGATCAACACAATAAATAACTTTTTATACTGTTATTTTTTACGTTTATCGTAAATTAGGACGATATTTCATTTTTCTTTAGTATATTCTTATTTGGATAAGAATTACAAAATATTATAGGATCTTTTTTATACATGGAAGATCAACATAATAACTAACTTGTGCTTTTTTGGTATCGTTATTTTTTGCTGTTCAAATTATAAGTTGGCACAAGATCTCATTTTATATATATATTTATTTGGATGAGTCATGAAATACGGGACATTTAATATTGTGGGGTAATTAATTATACTCATCGACCAATGAATACTATATATACCCTACAAGTGCAACTTGTAGTTCGAGTCATTATTATAAATCTTGAATTTAATATGACAAAATAAATTGTTTTCTGATTAATTTGCCTTTCATTTTCCTCATTTATATTCTTAAAAGAAAGTTGGAAAAATAAGAATTTATTAATAGAATTTAATTTTAGCTGATATATACAACATTTTATTATATAATGTCCATTATTGATCGAACATGTGGCAAAAACAAAACAATAAAAAATATCTAAGGGTCAATCAACTTGATATGTTTTATCATTTAATTTAAACGTCGAAAACTAACCTCTAAAAAGGGTGAAGAAAACGACTAAATAATTAGTACCTCATTTGTACGCAATGTGTTTTTCAGCTATAACAAAAATAATTTTTAGTGGCGATAAATATGCATTTAACAAATAGAGTTATAACTTTACTGAATTAGTTAATTGATATTAGATTCAATGTTGTTATAGGTTTTAGAGTATTAAAATGTATTTGTCACCAGTATTGCTTCTAAAAATATATATATTTAGCAGCAATTAAGCTATTGTCATTAATTAATTATCGCTAAAATTTATTTTTGGTACAGTGTCTACAAATGAACAAAAAAATGATAAATATAAAGTATGGGATCAAATAATTATTAGGAAGCGCTTTATTTGTTAGTATGAATTCGAATTTAATCAACTTCAGTATAAATATCAAATACAAAATAAAAAGAGAAAAATAATAATAAAATTAATCAAGCCTTAGTCGGTAGCTAAATTCCAATTTTAGACAACTTGGATGAAGTGATACAAAGTACAAAACAACTCATAATTACAATTTGATAAAAGACGTTATCACTTTTTTTGTATTTTATATTATCGATCTCTTATGTTTGTCTTAATACTAGATGATGTTGTCCGTGCCATGCACGGGACCAATAATATAAATGGTATATTTTGGAGCTAATAACCGAGTTTTTGAAGCGATTGTTTGCGTGGATAAAGGAATAAGTTTTTTTATCACAAACCTGTACTTTCTTTGACGCTATTTAAGGCATAATAAGACTACCCACATACAACATTTTTGAAATATTTTATGTTGTCAATTATCATGATTTATAGTATTTTTACGATAGATTCACTTCAAGAATCAGTGGAATTTTTTGTATTTTTTTTCAAAACATATTTTATGTTGTCAATTATCATGATTTATAGTATTTTTACGATAGATTCACTTCAAGAATCAGTGGAATTTTTTGTATTTTTTTTCAAAACATATTTTATGTTGTCAATTATCATGATTTATAGTATTTTTACGATAGATTCACTTCAAGAATCAGTGGAATTTTTTGTATTTTTTTTCAAAACATATTTTATGTTGTCAATTATCATGATTTATAGTATTTTTACGATAGATTAACTTCAAGAATCAGTGCAATTTTTTGTATCTT